TATTTTCGCATAATATCTTTGTACCGGTAATGATTTATCATAAACAATTTCTTCACTTTTACAAGGTATAAATATGACTTTGTACACCTTATCTTTTCAAGACTTCATTTGTAAAATTACAGTGGACATGTTGTAATCCAATTAATGAGAACTTTTAAAAAGAAAATTACTCTATTACGTTCCTTTAAATTATAATTCTTAATTTAATTGGCCAATTTTTTTTTTAAAAAAAGAGTAGATATTTTCGCATAATATCTTTGTAAGCAGTAATGATTTATCGGAAATAATTTTTCTACTTTCACAAGGTATAGATATAACTTTATATATTCTATCTTTTCTAGACTATCGTTTATGAAATCACACTAAACATGTTGTTGTAATCCAATTACTGAGAACTTTTAAAAAGAAAGTTACTTTGTTACATTCCTTTAAATTTATGCGTCTTAGTTTAATTGGTCAAAATTTTAATAATATAAGAAAGACCTAAATATTTTGTGATTATAAACTAAAAATACATATAATATTTGAACTATTCATTGAATCTCATAATTTTAAATATATAATTTCATTTCTATTAGAGACTTTTATTTATTAAGAATAAAAAGAGAATATTGACTTTTAAAACTTATTAACTATAAATTTTTTGATTCTTTTTTAAAAATATAAGGAAGTCACCATTTTGAAAATATACCAAAGTGGGATGGACCATAATTTATTTATTAAAAAACAAAAAAAAAAAACAGAAATTGGGGAAGAAGTCAAAAACGAAATAGAAGCAGTATAATAAAACAGAAAAAGCATAACATGATTCCACGTTACACCAAACCAGTGGCCAAAGGTCGGATAAGATCGTGAAGAGCCGTTCAAATTATGTAAGTATTATATTTTAATCAAGTATTTAAACATATAATAAAAGGTTTATAACTTTATATACACCATTCTACTTTAAATTTTGATAAATATTAATGCATATTCTAAAATAACGGATAGGTAAATAAGTTAATTACTTAAGATATATTATCTTTTTTTTATTATGTGTGTTTGATTATGTCTTAAATTTTTCTCTCTATATTTAGAAAGTCTGATTTAAGAAATCATTATCCTAATAAATTTAGGAAAGGAAAAAATATATTATTCTCGTAGATTGGAAGAACTTGTTGTAATTAGGGAATCATAAAAGAATTATACACATCTTCTCTTCCGTGGTAAAAAAAATCTCTCTACTTCCTTTTCTCTATTTTTTTTTTTGTGGGATTATATACTAGTTAACCGTACGATCTAATATTCATTCGCTTCAACGAGTCATAAAATTTCAGATATATTTTAATTATTTTTCTTAAAAGTTTACTGACACGTCAACTCTTCATCAACAACTACCATCATACCATTTTTTTTTTTCTCTTATCCCTTTTTCTTCTCTTTTACACTTATTTAAACCGACTATGCTTAACGCTAACAAACATCTTCCTATTCCACATTCTCTTTTTCTATTCTCTTCCCCTGTTTTTTCATATTGTTGACCTTTATATCAACAATTATTATTCTTCTTTATAATGTATTGCTCCCAAAACAGTCTCATTCATATTTGGTTTGCCGTATTTGATCCGGTCTCGTTGAATAATTCAATTAATTCATAATCTATTTAAACATCCTCTTCTCTGGGTTTCCTTACCATCACGTTAAAATTCAATTGTTCTTTGAAAAATACCTGCGTAATTTGAAAGAGGAAAAATTAAAAAAATCAATGGCGATTGCTATGGGAATGATGAGGAATGTTGGGGGTTATGAGTCTGCGTCTGCTTCATGGATTCGTTTGAAGAATTGCGCGAGCAAAAAGACGAAGAGGGGTGAGAATATTAAATTTGGGGTTACTTGTGTTTATTCGCCTTCTGTGACTGATCCTTATAAGACCTTGAGGATTCAACCTGATGCTTCTGAATCTGAAGTCAGAAAGGCTTTTAGACAGCTCGCTCTTCAGGTATATTTTTTCTCTCTTCTGTTATAAGAACAGTTACTCGGTAGCTTGTGCTGGTACGAGGGAGCAGGTATCTTGTGAAATTTTAGGGAGGAGGAAGAAGAGGAAACAGGGGGGATTATAAGGTGTAATCAATCTCACTAGCTAATTGAGTTACTAAATAAAATGAAAGTTTAGATAGTCAGCTAATTGAGTTACTAAGATTTTCAGAATGTTTTGATCCCGCTATTTTAGTTTTTGGTGAGGCTCAACATTGTTAATTAACAAATTTTTGTTTGATTGAATTTCAGTATCACCCGGATGTATGCAGAGGAAGTAATTGTGGTATCCAATTCCACCAAATCAATGATGCATACGATGTAAGTTTATTTATTACTGAAATCGACATTTTTTTTTTACTAATTTATTTATTTCGTGTTTTATAGTAGTTTATAAAATTGTGGATGATATGTTGGGTTTAGCTTTAATTTTAATTTAAATAAAAGAAGTTTTGTGAATTAAGCAGAGAATATAGGAACCAAATTGAGGAAGATAATGGTTGGCTTCTTGATTGTGAGGTTTGTATTTTATAATACTCTTCCTAATCTAACTATTACTTAATTAATAGTAATAAGGAAAAGTGGGTTTTCATTTACTCCACTAGATGAGCTTCAGGGGATTATAAAACTTTATTCAATAAACAAATACTTTAAGTAGGTATCAATCAATTCATACTTGGATTATTTAATCTTGTAGGGAACCTGTGAACATTTTTTAGGCAAAAAGTCCTTTTCACTTTTGTTTGAAACTTGAGAGGTGCCAATTACGTTATCTAATAATAAGTCACTATCCCATTTTCAATTATCAGAGTATTACGTACTAGAACTTGTTTGTAGGTCCCTTATTTCAATTATTTTGGAATCATGCTTGGTAATGGGTTATTTGATCTCGTTATATAGTTTTGGACATTTCAAATGTTATGGACTATCGTTTCAGATTGAATTAGTTGTAGAATCCATTTTGCTTATCATAGAGTCAGAGTTAGATCCATCCATACTCATGATTTATCTGATGATGTACCCCTATCTTATAATGTCCACGCCCCAATTCTAGGCGCGTGAGGGTGTATGAGCTTCCATATCTGATTTTGGACAATTTTTACCTCATGAGTCATGAATATCAGTTTAGTTCTGTTCTGATGTGTGATTTTTGATGCAGACTGTGATGAGTAACTTGAGAGGTGAAACAAAGAGTGCAGAAATGGAGATTTACGAAGAATATGACGATGATGATGAATCCATGAGAGGAGTGAATGATCCAGATTATGATATGTGGGAAGAATGGATGGGATGGGAAGGAGCAGGCATTCGGGATTATTCTTCTCACATCAATCCTTATATATAATTTTTTTAAATAAACGTGGTGTCTGGATCAGTTCACGTGCCTGTATTATCTTTAATCTGGATCATAATGTTTCTGTCAAATACCCCAAAACCCATCCATCTTCTTCAAACTCAAAGATGGTTCGAGGTTTCTGTATATACTCAAAGGAGGGAGTTGTATGTTTTGTACATAGATGGAAGTTGTTCCTCCTCTGTATTTATCAATTCTAATCATGCAATGATATCAATGTGAAGTACTTATATTACTGGAAAATATTATCATATAGTTCAGATTCCTAAAATTATTATGAAGATTATAGCTTTGACAACTTTTAATTGCTCAATGTTTCTCTATTTAATTGGATATAGGTTGATGTTTTGTTGTTATTATTATTATTCTTCATGATTTGGATTTGGAGGGACAAAAAGTTTAATCTCAGTGGATTGTGACAACAAGATCACTCTATCACTTACAATATCCCGTCGCATAATGAAATAGTTCGATATGAATGGAATATAATGAGTTGAAATCCAAAAGGTTCAATTTGTAATCAAATTAAAAATCTTGACATTTAAACTACTCAAATTGGTGGATTTAGTCAATTTTAGACAAATAAAGTCAAATTGAATCAATAAATGAGCATAACAACTTGTACAAAACATATTTCGTTGAATTAGGACGATTAATGGTCTAATATCATCTCAAAGGTTGAATAAATTAGACAAATTTTACTTTTGAATTAATTAGTCTAATAAATATAGAAATGAATAATTAATTTTCATTTGATCTTCAAATAATAACTATTTTAGATCAACTAGATTTAATAAGCACGATAATTAAAATGAACCGATTGAAGCAAGTTCTGAAGTCTCTTTCTGAGTGAAGCAAGGCCGGTGGGGCTGATGGGTGATGACTGATGACTGATGCTGGGATCAGGGATGTACATGTATTTAACTTTATTTATTGCAGATGAAGACATTGTAGTTGCCACTTTCAACCCAAAAAATACACATTAAATTGCAACGAACAATTATTGATTGATTTAATTGGCAAACATCATTTATGATATTTGGGACTGGGATGCGTGAATCATGTCGTTTTGGTTGTCATAGAAGAAGCACCGTGGCAGCACAAACAAAAAAGGAGGTTAAAAGTGATAAATAAAAATAATAATAATATATTTATTTCATCAGATCATTATATTCGTAAAAGAAAGGCAAAGACAATGAATAATAAAAAATAGGAAATTTAAATTATGACCTAGCTGTCAATTATTTAAAAATCAAAATTCGAAGCTCAATAAATATATATATATTTTTTTTATCGATTTATATTTTGATGATAGTTTTACTCGGACACTTATATTGGTACAAGTGATATACATAGTATAATATTTAATTTAGGTACAATCTAATAAAAAAACCACCACTATCTTTAAAAATATATATATGATACCTATAAATTTATAATGTTTATGTCAATTTCGTGTTAATTAAGCAGCACGAATCCAGCCTAAATAAATAAATAAATAAAAATTTCTGAAAGTTAGATGTAAAAGGAATAACATTCAGCCACATATAAATAAAAAAAAAAAAAACAGAAGATACAGAGGAGTAAGAAATACAATTTAACTTTTAAGATTTTTTTTAAGATTTTCTGCAAATTACGTAAATTAGTACTATTACTTTACTCCTTAGGGCTGAGAAGAAATCCGTACACTCATTGCTCGATACTAGTATATCAGCTTTGGTCGGGTTCCTGACTTCTACGTTTTTCCCGGTCGGCGATTTTCCAGCGTCGCACGTGGCGGCGGAGCTACAGTGGCAGCTCTGACGGAAACCCTAACGTATAGTATAATCGGGTCGAAAATTGGACTGATTTTAGGCCGCAGTATCAAATGAGGGCCCGGTTGATTGGATGACCACCGCTCTCCCGATCTACAGGTGAAGGTTTCCTCCTATTTTCATTTTCGTTGATGATTTACAATAAGCTTCAATTCAATTGCTCAAGCGTATTTTTTCATGTTAGTTAGTTTCAAAGAAAATGTTTTCCTGTGGAAAATACTTTCCGTTTTAATTCAAATGTTTTATTTAGGAAATCAATTTCTGGTGTTGGATTGGGTATTAAAGTAGCTGACATGTAGTAATTGTACCGGTGTAGGACTTGGTATGAGAAAAATATTTTCTTGATAACTTTTTGAGTTTTGATTAAAACAAGTAAGATTGAGTAAGAGTTGGACCTTGGACGTTTGTAGATTGAGTAAAAATGGTATCTTCTTAAGTGAAGAAGTCATTAGAATACATTTTCACATAGATTGAAAAGGTAACTAAACAGTTCTAGGGAACATTCTCCTTCGTACCTAATTCATTCTTGATGTCATTTAACATATCTTTCATAGTATACAAACAACTTATTTCACTTAAGCTGATTTGGAATGCTGTTAAATCCAAAAACTAATCTAGCAACGAGGTATTGTGTTGTGTTACAGAACTTGATATGGTAACGTAATTATTATCCATCTGCCAAGATTCAACTTATTAGAGACTGGGCTGGACACATAGGTAAAAGCAAAATGATATTCGATACTTTCGAGGAAGCTTCTGAAGCTGAACATAGACCAACTGTGTTTTTAAATACATTTGATGATGTGTATAGAGTTAGTATTGAGGTCTAGTAGGCAACTTCAGCCATTGAAGCTTCATGTAAGTAGAGGCTGGCATAATGAACCAACTTATCTAACTACATGGCCCAACAAACTCGATTAAACTTAAAGACGGAGTCAGTAGAGAATTATTGCTGGGCATGGAGGTTTCTTTCACAGTTATTAGATTGGGTTTTCCAGTTCTTTCTTCTTGAAGCTCATTAACTTCTTCATTTATTCCAGATTCTAAAATCTTCATTGATGGCTGAAATAAAAGAACGCTTGCTTCCACCAAAACCTGCATCAGCAGCAAATCTTAGAGAAGTATCTTATAGGCCGCCTACCTCTGGTCGTCAACCTTTTCAAGGTATAGATGTCTTGGGCCTTAAGAAGCGAGGTCAAGGTCTTCGATCATGGATTCGGGTTGATACATCTGGCAATTCCCAGGTCATTGAAGTTGACAAGTTCACTATGATGCGTCGTTGCGATCTTCCAGCTCGTGATCTACGTCTATTAGATCCATTGTTTGTTTATCCATCAACAATCCTTGGCAGGGAGAAGGCAATTGTTGTAAATCTTGAGCAGATTCGATGTATCATTACAGCTGATGAGGTTCTCCTATTAAATTCTCTCGACAGCTATGTCCTGCAGTATGTTGTGGAGCTGCAGCGGCGGTTGCAAGCTGCAGGAGCAGGTGAGGTTTGGCAGTCAGAAGGTGAGTTGAGCAGAAGAAGAGGAGGCAGGAATATTGAGAATATGTTTGGCAATCCGTCACCGGATTATTTGCCCTTTGAATTCCGTGCTCTTGAAGTTGCACTGGAGGCAGCTTGTACTTTTCTTGATTCTCAGGTATTTAGCAGAAAACACCATCTTGGGGACTTTGTTTTCATTTACATAAGAGTATGAGTATATCTGTATATGGTACAAGTTTGGCAATAAAAATCTGGTAAGAAGTTATGTCTGAGTAGCCTCAAGTTACATTTCACCTGTTGATATAGATATGCCTTAATGCAATACTATGCAAAGTCAAAGGGTGCCGATAGCATTGGTTGCTTTGGGAAGAGAAAGTTATAAAGATAGTCTTCCAATTTTCCAAGGTAATAGCTTGAGTTTCTTTTTATTTTCATAGCTGAGAAATCCTCGAGGGCCTGTGGTGGTGCATGGTTTGAAACTGGATGGATAATGGGGCTTCTTCTCTACCCTTCCCCACTCAAATATCAGGCAAATCTGCGGCAGGATTCAAACCCATGACGTGCACCTAACTGTCACATCACACGCCGCACTCTTACCATTAGACCAAAGGCCGGGGTCCAGGAAATAGTTGAGTTACTGCTGAACATACTTAATAACCCTATATTCTTGCCTTCCACACACATTATCTCCAGCTGATTCAAATCTTAAATATCATTTTAAATGTTGGAAGTATCTGACTGGACTAATATCTGAACTTAGGTTATAAAAGAGTTGCAGAGTGGTTAGGAGGCTCAATTTTGTTTGGTTGCCTCTCTGATGTTTGATGCTCTTGGGGAAATGGAGATGGTGGTAAGTTGACCTCGACAGAGAGCCGAGGTCAAACCAAAAAACCCTCCTTTTTATCACAAGGAGAAGAAAGAACATAATGGTTAACTAGTCATCAACAGGAGGTCATAAAAAAACTAGTTAATAGGAGAAAGCTCTGTAGCTTGGATGCCTAATAGAAGTTGGGAATCAAAATATTCACTCGGTCTAGTCTGAAACTCTGAATTGATATATAAATACGTGACAAAAGCTAGTAACCACTTCACAGATACTTGTATGAGCATTAGAGCATCATTTTTAGATTTGCAGAAGAACTACATTTTAAAAGCTAAATAAATATGTTGCAGTATTATATCTTGTTTTGTTTTGTGTGTTTTCATATGATTGTCTTAGTTTCATTTTTTTAATTATAGTTTGTTTTAGTTGCTCATTTTGGACAAAAAGCAGAGGTAGTGAAATAAAATGGGCAGTAGAAGCTAAGATGTAATTTGGTGAATTAACAAGTCTGAAAAGATAGTTGGCGGTCTTGAAGTTTGTGTTGTTGAATATGGCCCACTTCTCATTATTTCAACTTTCATATAGGATAGCAGCATTGGGTACTAACATCTCTTCCTGAGAGTCCAAAATCACATCAGTCATAAAATAGGATGGGAGGAGTAGTTGGTAAAGAGGCATATTGGCAGGTCACGATCCAGACAAAAATTGATTTGTCATTACTGACAAGCTGTTGACTGAACCTTGTCAAATAAAAGACAAGCTGTTGGCTCAATTAGCCGTCGCTCAATTATCTAGAACATCTTTAGAAAATACCATCCCTGTAGGAAAGCAGCATCATAAACGTCTGTCTTTCTTGATTTTGCACTCATGGAGAAGATAGTTCTATTTCATGACTATTGATGTTGGTATTATGATCTCTCTTTGTTGCAGCTGTTTATCTCGATCTGCAAGTTGTATTAGTTCTAATTTGAATCTTTTGTGGTTTGAGTTTTTCCAATACTTCCTCTGAAGGATCAAGTGGTACTGTAATTTCAGAAAGTCATTTATTTAATGGAATTTAGCAGAAAGGTTCACAGCGAAAAATGATCCAAAACAGTGTCAGTCCAAAGAAGAGCAGTGAGAGATATTCTCAATATGGCTCATTGATCTCTTTGGTCGTATTTGTATGTGTGGGAGGTACTCCGTCGTACTACACTGAGATTGATAAAGAGAGCAGGGCAAAGAGAATTTTGTTGGTTGACCTTAACCTTGAAAACTGCCATGACTATCCATGTGATGAAATGCATGATGCAAGAATCCTTACTTGACATAGTAAACTTCTAGACAGCCCTTATGATTGAAAAATTGTATCTATGGCCAAAAAATACTAGTTGACACTAGATTCCAAGAGATAATAGAAACTAGTTTTGTGGATTTCATAGTTTGCACATGTAAATGTTGCAACAAAGAGCTTGATCATATTTCGAAGAGAAAGAAGGATCTTACAAGCAAAATGTAATTAGAACTCATTTTGGAACGAATATCTCAGTTTCTTGAATACTCTTCACCAAAATGCAAAATCCATATTGCAAGAACACCGGTACCAACTTGAGCACCAACAGAACTACTGAAATGACTAACTGTGAACGAAGTGTGGTGTTACAATTTAATATATATGGTCATGACCTAGAACAAGTTGAATAAACAATTGTAACAAGTATTCTACAATAGGATATTCATAAGGTGGATAATTTTGTGGATAGTTCTGTATTATTTGGTTTGAGTCAACCCAAGATTTTGATTTTGTTTTCTTTCCAAATGATCAGGCAGCAGAACTAGAGATTGAAGCATACCCATTGTTGGATGAACTTACATCTAAAATTAGTACCTTGAATTTGGAACGAGTTCGTAGATTGAAAAGCAGGCTTGTTGCTTTGACTCGTAGAGTTCAGAAGGTATCCTAACTAATTGTTTTTTTTGGAATTTCCAAGCACAAGTTACTGATTATATTATCTTAACTTCTCACCATCTGTAATCTAGGTTAGAGATGAGATAGAGCAGCTTATGGATGATGATGGGGACATGGCTGAGATGTATCTCACTGAGAAGAAAAGGCGGATGGAATTGTCTTGCTATGGAGATCAATCGTTGCTTGGCTACCGGTCAACTGATGGTGCGTTGTCTTTGTCTGCTCCAGTTTCCCCTGTTTCTTCACCCCCTGAGAGCAGGAGGCTTGAAAAAAGCTTGAGCATAGCAAGAAGCAGGCATGAAAGCATGAGAAGTTCGGAAAGTGGAACTGAAACTCAGAGTATAGAAGAGCTGGAGATGCTCTTGGAGGCTTATTTTGTTGTCATTGACAGCACCCTCAACAAGTTGACATCGGTATCTTCTACAGTCTAATTGTGCATCCTTTCATCTCTTGTATTCCTTTTCTTAATCAAGCTTATTTTTTTCTGATACAGTTGAAGGAGTATATTGATGATACCGAAGATTTCATCAACATTCAACTGGTATGCATCATACATTCAAGTTGGTTTCAAATGGATTTTACTTTGCATTAAACCCTTGACTTGTTAAAACATGGAAGTTGTAAGATTAGACTAGTTAAAACACAGTTTATAATAATTTGATTGTTTTGTTTTCATGTATCATGGAGAATTCTTGTTACAGTAATTGTGTACATGTCATATTAACTTGATTGACGATATTTTATTTGCAGGATAATGTCCGGAATCAGCTTATTCAATTTGAGTTGCTACTTACAACTGCAACCTTTGTGGTTGCCATCTTTGGGGTTGTGGCAGGAATTTTTGGGATGAATTTTGAAGTACCCATGTTTAATGACCCAAATGCATTTAAATGGGTCTTAATAATTACAGGTGTAACTGGAGCAGTGATATTCTTTGCATTTTTATGGTTCTTCAAATATAGAAGATTGATGCCACTGTAGATGCTCGAGAACACAGCCAATTGAGAATACACCCAGTGCAAGTAAAGAGGACTGCCTGCTGGTGATATTCGAAGCCATTTGACAGTGGATCCTATTTATGGAATAAATACACGAGCCTATGAGAAATAAGTGTTTCAGAGAAGACCAGTATCTGTCGATGCTATGTACCAGAAAAGCTGATGGATCTACTGAATTATGTGGTATCCACATCACTAGCCTAATAGTAGCTTCAAAGTTGTAGTACATCAGTCATTTATATTAGCATTGTATTCTCGGAGTTCAAAAGAATGAAAATGGGCCATTCTTGTAAAAGCAACCAGCTTGAAAATGCCAAAAACTACGAAAAGTGACTTTGATCTGCATTCGAACTGTTTCAGTGTCAATAAAGTGAACATGAAGAGGAAAGAAAAATACACAATTGAAGTGGTTTGTTTCTCAACAAAATGATGTGCCCATATTAGCACCCTTTCTCTGTTATATTTTTCTCAAAATCAAGCATACCTTTTTTTACATGATTAGTAAATCGCAGGGCATGATCCAAAGTTAGATCTTTGATAATCGAGATTCTAAACCAAATAAAAGATCTTCAAACTTTGAGTAATGCCAGCAACAACTTTATTTCCTACCAAAGATTTTTTCATATTTTAGATTTGAACTCGAGACCTGGGAGAAGTTGCCCTATTCATTGCACCGACAAGTAAAAGTGAATGAAGGTGAGGACTACTAAATAAAAGATTTTCATAAGTTTATTTTTGAGTAGCCAATATGGGTTGTAGTGCACTGGTGAGAGTGTTTCACCCTTAATCAGAAGTCTCGAGTTCGAGCCCGGTGGGAAACAAAAAAAAAAAAAAGTTTATTTTTGAGTAGAATAAAAATATTTGCAATAAAAGACCTTATCACCAAATCCAATGTTGGTTATATTTCCCTCCACTATCCACCACAACAGCAGCTAACCAACCAACCATTGCCATTGCCATGGCCGTACTAACCACGGCCTTACAGTTACAGTCACTCCCTTCTTCCTTCCCTCTTCCTCGCTCTCCCTTTATCTCTTTTTCCTTTTCCCTTTCCCCCATTTGCCCACTCCCCCACTCTCCCAAAACCTCCGGAAGATCATCACTACTCTCCTTGAAGGGAATTCAGTGCATCAAGAATGAAGTGGGAGCTGACCCAAAAAAAGGCGTCAGTGTTTACAAGCCTAAATCATACCAAGTCCTTGTTTCTGATGCCGCAAATTCTCTTTTTTATGCCCTAAATGACGGAAAGACCAGACTCGAAATTGACTTCCCGTAATTCTCCCATCTCATTCTTCACTACTACTGATTAATGGTTGTGTGGGTGTTTTCAAGATTCCTATTTGACTGTTTTATCCCTCCTGATAATACTTGTGCTATAGTTGTTTCATAAATTTCTGCTTGTTACTTTCAAGAAATTCTCATAATTGAGTATTAGAATGAAAGGGTCTGCTACTTTGGGATTGAGGTGTAGTAAAAGTAGTTGCTTTCAAGAATTAGTCGTGTATTTTCTGCTGCACGGTTTCCTTATTTGTGATTCTTTACTTGTTACTATGTAGCAACTAGGAAAGTTGAAATTATTCCAACTCTAAATCACCCAAATGGAACAAAGTTGAAATCTTTTGCATCAAAACACTGTCAAGGCAGTGGGGGATCAGCTCAAATTTAAGTGGTGGGCTGGACTTGTAATCACTTTTTATATTAAAAAAAAGTGTCCAAAACAGCACCTTCCTCCCACCAGGGAGGTGTCCCAGCATAAGGACATAATGTTAGAAGTATAATTTGTGGATTACATTTTTGTACATATGAATAGGTGACCTAGATTCTGTTGCAATTCCTAATTGTTGTTTATTTGGTAACTTTTTCAACTGATGAGTATGGTTCCTGTTATAGAAAATGATAAAAAGTAAAGGAAGTTCAGTGTTTATATTTTGTTTTCATTAAAGCTGAAATATATGCTAAAAGTGATGAACACTTACCATAATCTAATCTAAAGTCTCATTTTTAAATCAGTTACAGATCATGGCGCCATCATATTTTAGATTGACGACTTAGGGTGTTAAGTTATATTTAATTTGCTCTGAAAATAATCAGCTGAATGTATCCTCTATTGGAAAATCCGTTATGTCCTTCTGTATTTGAACAGATCCGTACTGTATTCCGGGATATGTTTGTATGATGTCATTTAAAATGAGTTCCTTCTCCCAAAGAGTAAGTCAGGTCGTGTTCCAAATCAGAACACTTCAAGGTCTTTCAGGTTGTTGTCAGCTGTGTATTAACTTTTGACGTTGAATTGTCAATACATTCGTGAAGTTTGATAGGAATATAACCTTTTTGATTACATGCTTATTATTTCAATAATAAGTTTGTCATAGCTTCTTTCCTGACAATGTTTCCTGTTTGTTTCAACGCTCCATTGGTTTACATCTTCAGGCCCTTGCCCACCAGCATTTCTTCTTATAAGGTATCATTTTAACTTGTCATAAATTTTGATATTTTAAGTACCTTGCTGATGACATCATATTGTTGTCGGAAGTCATTCTATTTTTCTGGATAACTATCATCTCTCATATTTTGCATATTTCTAATTATGTGACCTTGCAATGAGCTCATCTCTCAAATTCCTGAAAATGTGAAGGGGTCTTCGGATGAGTTCAGTGATGCCAATATCCAACTTGTACTAGCTGTTGTTAAGAAGCTTCAGGAAAAGATGGAAACTCGAGCTTGTGTGGTGAGAAGAAACTTTGTCATTCTTTCTTTGTACAAGCTATGATTCACTGATATGCACAGAAGCAAATCTGACAAGATCCCTCAATTTGTAGGTGTTTCCTGACAAACCAGAAAAGCGTAGGGCCAGCGATCTTTTCAAAGCAGCTCTTGACTCGGTACTGTTAACTCATTGTAGATTTCAATTTTCATTTCTGATGCTGTGAACCATAACATTTTGTTCTAGTAGGGAATGCCTTCTGTGTAAGTCGGGTGCTCTCATCAGTTGGTTTGTCTTATCTAAACCTCTCCTTGAAATTAGAGATGAATGATTAACTTTGAAAAAACATTTTTGATGTTCATGATATAGTTCGATTCATCTTCTTTTTCTTTTTGCATTTTGGAGTTGCGTTCTTCCTGTCGTTTCCTCATTCTCACAAAAATCTCATTGAAATTATCATGCTTTCACTCTTTCAGGTAGATGGCATTACCATTGGATCCTTGGATGATATTCCTGGGGGAGCTGTGACCTCATTCTTCAGATCTGTAAGGAATACACTGGACTTCGATTTTGAGGATGAGAATGAAGGTTAATTTCACAATCTAACTGTTCTTATGTTTCCAACTCCTTCATCAACTTAGCCACTGTTGCACAATAACCCAGTTCTCTTAATCTGTGACAATAAATAGATCCATTTTGGTTTCCACATAAGCTTCCTTTCTTGTTCTTTTCCGGGAGAGGAGAGGGGAAGGGTGATGCAACATTCTTAGAATCTTGTCAAGTGTTTTAAGGATTTTAAGTCATTATGATACAAATTAGAAAGTCTATAAATGCTAGGTTACTGTATTGCATTTAACTTCAAAAGAACTCAAGAACATCAACAGATTAACATGAGTACATGCGTCTTGCACTGATGCTACCTAATCCTGTCTCAAAATCAGCTGGACCTTTTCTCCTTTAGCATTTGCAGTATTTCCCAACCAGTTTGTTTTAGTCATTGAAAGTATTCAATTAGGAAATCTTCTTTGGATAAAGTTATGCAGGTATTATGTAGGAAGAAAACAAAAATCTCAACCAAACATTATATATGCTATGCTAAGTATTATACGGAGATTAAGTCTCTTTAAAACATCAACCAAACAATGTAATAAATTATGCAGAATTTTATACATGGTTAGATTACTCCCGAGACACCAACCAAACGGGCCATTAGGATTAAAGTGGATCTAGCTGTTTTTTCTTTTTTACATCCATTGTAATTTTTTTAAGCTTTTAAAGCAATTGAAGGTTCCTTTCTCTTGTTTTATTAACACCTAGACCATTTACAAGGGCATAGTTACTCAAAGCTCAAAGGAATAGCTTGGTTCCGGGTTATTGCAATGGTCATCAATTTTTTACATATGCTATGTGTACTATACCTATAAAGCTTCATGCATCTTTATTGTTTCAGGTCGTTGGAAGTCTGACCAGCCTCCTACACTATATATATTTATCAACTGCAGCACTCGTGACCTTTCGTACATTGAGAAGTATGTGGTAAGATCTGTTGGTATTAGAAAGTCATGTTATCTAATTTTCACTTCCAAATTTGCAAGAAATTGTCTCCGATAAAAATCAAACTTACTAGTGTACCAATGTGTGATCATCCTTATTTCAAATGTATCATTTGTTCTGGGACATGTTTCCTTTGCTCTTACGCGTAGTCTACCTTAAAGTTGCTTTGAACACCCTTTTAGTATTCATTTTATTTGTTTATTCCACTATACTTTTAAAATAAATGTTTCTTCTCTGTATTTATTCAAGGGTTGATGATATTGACATCCATTGCATTGACAATGTACAGGGCAAATTTGCTACGTCAACCCCGAGTCTCCTTTTCAATCTCGAACTTGACACCTTGCGGTAATAAATAGTGTTCCCCGTCTTTGATGGATATTTTTCTGATTAATATATGTTATGGTTAGTTCCTCGATGATATTCTGATTAACAATAAATTTATTCAAAATTGCAGTGCTGACCTGGGTATTATAGGCTTTCCACCAAGGGAATTGCATTATCAATTTCTTTCTCAATTCACCCCCGTCTTTTATATTCGAACAAGAGAGTACTCAAAGGTGACAATTTTGTGATCTTGGTTTTATGTTCATCTATCTTATATCGACCTTGTAAGCCTGTAATGCATAATTTCTTTTTTTCTTTTTCTCATGGAAGACAGTTGCAGTGGAACCTTATATAGTGAACTACAATGGAGCTCTCTTCCGTCAATATCCTGGTAAGTTTTCATTCTTGTGGTTATACGCTTATTTAGGGATTCTGTTACTTCTGTTTCATTATTTCCCTATATTTATCGACTTCCTCTTCTTGTTTCTCAATTGAATTTCCTTCTTTCTGATATCAAAATATGAGTGCAGATTATTTTCTTGGTGTTCACTCCAGTTGAACAGAAATTTGAGGATAGAGTATACTAGTTGTTTAAGTATATTGAATATATGTGACTTGTAAATATTTCTGACCCTTCTAAGGTTACTATATGCCAAGTCTATATTACGAGTGTAAAATAAATCTGATCCTAGGAACTGTTTTCTCACTTGAAAATGAGGTGAGAGAAGAAAATGTAAATTAGGACGACATACTGTCAAATTAATTCTTTGCTTGTTATAGTTATTCGTGGAACTCCACAATATTAAGAATAACTTCCCTTTTAAGAAAACTTAAATGCTCTAAATGAAACTGAAGTATTTGAAACTAGATATTTAACATCATGTAAGAGTAATAGATGTAACATTTTTTTGTTTCATTAGAAGTGTCTATGTCGTTTCTGATATTCAGGCTTCAGCACAGGTACTTTTGTAAGATTGTGTATGCACTAATATGGAATACCGACAACCTTTAGCTTTGTTTTAATATTGCAGGGCCTTGGCAGGTGATGCTGAAACAGACAGATGGTTCTTTTGTTTGTGTGGCAGAAAGTGCAACTCGCTTCACTCTTAACGAAGTAACTATACATCTGATTCATGCAACTTGTTCTTTTTAATAACTTTTATGGTAAATAAGCTGCCCAAAACATGTTATGGCAGACCAAGGAAGAACTATTGAGAGTCCTCGGACTGCAAGAGGAGAAAGGAAGCTCACTTGAATTTCTCAGAAGAGGATACAAGGTCTCTTTATAGTAATTTTGAACTTACATAGTGTTTGTGTTTTTCCCATCAACAACTACAGTTTCTTTCATCGAACTAATCTCTTCTCATTGCTTATCCTATGAAGATTAGTAAAATACGCAATAGATTTGAGAATATGTTTGACTGATGCTTAAATGCCTTGCTGTAGACTGCAACCTGGTGGGAAGAAGATGTTGATTTAGAAGCATCCTCTGCATGGCGTAGTTGAACAGAAAATTGCCACAGAAGAAGAGGATGGCGGGTGGGGTGGAGATTTATAACACACTCAGGTGGTGGAGGAACAAAACAAGCTACTAAATTACCAAATTTGTTGATCCAGCATTTCCGTCGTAAAAATGCTCTTTGTATTTATTCTACTTTATAGTAACTTGTACTTCAACTAGAAAGAAGGTTGTCTTAAAGAAATGACAAGTCCTTTAAAGTTTGTTTGTGCGTCCCAAGCTATGAAAGAAAGAATTTGTGTTACACTTTATTCTCTTTTAGCTCTCTCATTGTTTACTTCTTTCTCTTTCAAAAGTGTAAAGGTTTTCCTGCGCAAAAAGAGCCTTCATTCTCTTTGTTTCTATGATTGTTCAGCTCATTTGCACTTCTATCCTTATTTTGTGTAGTCTAATTTTTTATTCATCAAAATAAACAACTTTTTTGTGAGGTCACTAGATATAAGTTTGATTATTAAAGGACAAAAATTAAATGAGCAACTTTCACATATAGCAAACACAAAAATCATATTTGTATGTTATAGCTATAGTTTGCATAATTACGCCTCATATATACATATATACAAAAGAAGCAATTGTATAATTTGTTTCGGTATACATATACAAAAGAATCAATTGTATAATATGTGTTTGTATAAAGCGAGAAAGAGAGAAAGACAAAAGAAAACTAGGCAGGGGAAGATCGTATTTGTATAATCATAAGTGTATAGGACGAAAATATATGCATTGTATTTGTATATACAATTTTCTCTCGCTTTATACAAACACAAACGCAATGTATACATTTGTGTTTGTATAAAGTGAGAGAGGCAAGTGAGAGTGGCGAGCGAGATCTGGTAGAGGGGAACGAAAATATATGTATATATACAATTTTCTCTCACTTTATACAAACAAAAACACATTTTATACATTTGTGTTTGTATAAAAGCGAGAGAGGCTGCCCAACGAAAACGAGAGTGGTGAGCGAGATTCACGAGAGAGAGAGGCGAAATAGCAACAGTTTGATATGGGGTACAATTAATTCAAACTATGATTATAACATTTAATTTGAATTAACAGTTTGCTATTATATACAATTTTTCCAACCTGGACAAAACGTGCATAAACATGTCAATTTCTGTTTCCAAGGTGGTGTAATTTCTAGCAAGCCCAACAATATGGTATCAACAGATCGGCCCAAACTTATCAAAATATGCTGCTCCTGCGGACAACATAGACACGTTAGTGTTGTCGTCGAAAGGGATTTTCGGCCTTGAGGTTAAAAGACACAAATAAAGGAATACTGAGACAGAAAGCGGAACAAAGAAAAATGGGATTATGGGCATGTTTAGCAGTGATATCACCATTTCCATTTTACTACTATCTCTGGACACATCCTCAAAAATGGGTCGATCTCTGTGGAAGTGGAAGTGGACGTGACCCTTGCAAAGTTATGGCTATCGTCTCTCATTTTATAAAGTTCATCCAATTCATCTCACTCTTATCGGTTTCCACATTTTCATGGCCTCCTCCGCTTTATTTTTGGCCCCTTTTCATCTTTGGTCAGTTCCTTAATTTCAGGTCAGACCTCAAGCTTCAAATTTGATCTTCTTTCCTCTTTACTATGTTTTATGGTCATTCGACAATGTAAAGATTATGTCAATTTGTTAATTTTATGAACATATACCTTGGGATATTGTTGTTTGGTAGAAATTAGATTCTTGAATTTACTAGAATGAAAAATGGCATTTTTAGGATTGGAGTGAAATTGGCATAAATAAAGCTGAAATATATACAAAGGATTTGATTGTTCCCAAGGCTTTGGTTCAACGAGAAAGATAGTATAGAGCGGGATGTCTCGCAAGCTCACGTGTTGAAATCTTGATGCAGTGGAGAAATGGTAGAGGGGTGGACCCATTCTCCATAGAGTTTGAGTTAAATGTAAAAGATTGATATTGCTGACACTAACTAATTTGAAATCGACATGTAATTTGTCGATGAGCTGATTGAAAAATTGGATATCTAGGTTCATGTTATCGTTGGCAATTTTTAATGCGTGGAGGAAAGGGATGGCATAGCGTTCCTGCTTGTCATCAATTCACTAGGAGCCAGTTAAATCATTAATTACTGAAGGAAAGCATCTTTGATGTAAGTTCCTCCTGCACTATGGAATCATGCTAGCCTCCGATAGACTAGTTTTGATGTTGTCATGGAGATTCAATGCACGCAAATTACGAAGTTGTCATATTGACAATTTGATGAAAAACTAGTGCATAGTTGTGCGAGCAGATCTAGGCAGGGGCAGAGGTAGAAGTCTAGATACGGGTTGTCTCAACTCAATAATTTTTGCTCAAATGGTGTAGTTATATTAGTAATTCCTTGAATATGTACACACTAAATTTAGAACCAATTATTAGCTATCCAAAACCCATAAAGTTGAAATCTTGGCTGCGGTCTCTGCCTTGAGGGTTAGAGGTTTCAGCTGGAGGATTTCATTTGAACCAATAATCATTGCTTTTATATTTAATGTGTTAAATGGATAGCATGTACATAATAGTGATCACAGGTCCAATATGGACTACCCTATAGTATCTTCTAAAAGTTAATCAGCTGATGTGATCGGGCTGAACTGGAATGATGAAATTTGAAAAAGTTAAGCAATCTGAGATTGCACTGGCTCATCAATCCTCTGAACTGATTCCGCAAACCACTTCTCCTCTACAATATGAGTGTTTCTGATCTGGCTGAGAAATGTATATAAACCTCTAAAAAACCCACATAAACAGCACACAGGAATCGTTATCTGCTTGGAATGGGCTATATAGCTTTAGATGCTCTGCCTGCAATTTCAAACAAACGCACTGAAGTAGTGATTCAATGATGCAAACTTTGACGTATCGACCAGTTTATTAATTAATGTCTCTAGAGATATAGGGGAGAATTAATTGATTTGGGCCCATCATTGGGTTACTGATCTTTACCTCCCACCTCAGTACTTTAATGGTCAATTTGTACTCAACTAGACTTTGTTCCAAAAGACTAAAAATCAAGGATAATTTGGTGAAGTCTGGTTGGGATGGGATAGAGAGTAAATATAGATATTTAGCTCTGATTAGAGTTCCGGCCAATTGCACCCAAGGGTATGGCCTAGTGATCAATGAAGTGGTTGAGAACCATGAGATCTCTGTTTGAATTCCCTGCAGAAACAAAAAAACACTAGGTGATTCTTTCCATCTGTCCTAGCCACGGTCATCAAAAAAAAAAAAAAAAAAAGACTTCCAACCAATCTTACTAAATGATACAGGTTTCCTCTATGAGTTTAAGTTCTGTACTATGAGGTAGTGAACCTCATAATCATTACTCTTCTATAGCCACTTGACCAAAAATATTTACAATCGTTAGCCAAATACGTATATTATACATTAATTCTACACATATGTACATCTGTCGGCTACTTTTTTTGGTCAGGGGATATTTAAGTTAGCTTCCCTGTTTAATACATAGATTATTTCTTCTCATAGAAGAGTAATGATTTTGAGGTTCACTGACTAACTTAAAACGTAGTTATTAACTATAGGTTTCTTTGGATCATACATTCATATACTTTGTACAAGCATTAATCTAAAGATTATTTCCACATTCCAACGCAATAGAATTTGGAAGGCTTAAAATAGTAAAATGCCTACGAAAAGATAATTGGAGTCATTTGTCAAAAAGGAAAAAGTTTATTAGAATCACATCTTATTAGGTGTTTTTTCAACACCTTAAGTTGAGTTTAGTTCAGAAACATAGTAGCAACAGAGATTAACCTGATTAAGATCCCCATTGATAACAATTATTGGATAGAGGCTCGCCATTTCAATGGCAACTTTCAAATAAGAGATCTGACATGGCACCAGCATTCGCTTTAGACTTCTGTATGGCACCAGTAGTCACTTTAGATACTCAACTGACTATTTATTACTTCGTTGTTTTGGATATCATGATTCATATATTGAATGAAGCTATGTCTTGGTTCCATCTTATCAAGAGTGACTGCTATGTTAGACGTGCACTCCTATCGCTTGTCCATGTTTTACATTTAGTTCTTTACTCTATTGGGGCTCGTGGGTGTAATAATTTACAAAACTGCAGGGTGTATCAACTGTTGGGAGAAGCTGGCACTTACTATGGGGTCCGCTTTGGGAAGAATATCCCTTGGGCAACAGAGTTTCCTTTTGGAGTAATAAGAGATCCTCAGTATGTCGGCAGCATTTTGAGTTTGCTAGCTTGCCTCTCTTGGGTTCCTTTCTTGTATATTTTCTTATGGGTATTGGGATATGCATTTATAATACAAGTTGAATCCAAGGAAGATCCAGCTACTCGTGCAAAGCCGCTTTCTTGAGTCTATAGAAGATACATCTGCCAACTTCAAGGAACTAGTACTGCTTGCTTCTGCATTCCAGAGAAGGAATCCTTTTGATAAAGTTCTTGTATCAATGGTTTCTTGAGTTCTCGAGCCCTTTTTTAATATCAGACTCAGCAATATTTTGGACGATTCTGTAAGTTTTTTTTTTTTTTTTTTAAGAAGCCAGCATAACTTTAGATCCCTATGTCTTTTAGGATTTGAATTAAAAAATCCAGGCAATAAAGAGCAATTTTTTTTTGTGTGAATGGTTCTTGAGAACACTGTATGTTCTATTTTGACACAGCAAAACTGAATGATTTGTCAGCTGTTAATGCAAAATTTTCGAAGTAGTAACCTTCGGGTATGATGTGGAGGTAAAAAAAATGCAGATATGATGTGATTTATGATTGAAGAGAAAATAAAAGGCAATTTGAATGGTCAATTGCTTGAGTTTCTGTCTGGCCATAGATTTTGAAGTTGAAACTCGAAAATTTGAGTAAGTTAGGTTTGGACATGCATTTTACTTGATTTTTTTTTTTTGAAGTTTTGTGAGTTGAAGTCCAAGAACCCAAAAACTGGCAATATTTGAAGAATCAAATTTCATGGCAAAATAGATATTTGCAGGTAAATTGTCAAAATTTGCTTCTAAAACATAGGGCCAAACACTAGCTAAAAGTCAGCATTTACTGGAAAAAGTAAGAAAAATAGAAAGGAAGAATAGTGTTTAAGTAGCTTGAGGACTTAAACATGATTTTGATTTCTTGCCCTTGTTGAGATATCTTTATCAGTGGTGCAGATAATCAACAAGGTTGGGTCCTTAGACAAATACATGTTAAGACATTGAAGCAATAAGTAGAAGACTTTTAGTTGGAGTGTTGGACCAACTAAGATGTACTCTTTTATGCTAGTGGATGGAATCACAAAAGACCATCTCATCAGTTGCTTTCAGATAATGATTGTTTTTACCTTAGTTGCTCGGACTCTCCAAAAATGTTGCCGCACCTTTTGAAGGATCCAACACAGGCCTGATGACATTTTTGAAGAGTCCGAGCAACATAGGTTTTTACTATAGCAGATTACTTTATAATTGTTTTAATTCTTGCATGTAGCTTAAATTTGATGCCACAAAAGAGTTGCATAAAGTCGGTGAACAGAACAATAAGTTGTATATTTCATTATATCATTTCAGTATTCTACAAAGTTGTCAAATTCAACAACTTAAATGTTTCAAAGACAATTCAGTCTCAATCTAGCCAACTCAGAGCAAGTCCATTCTGCAGGGGACCCAATATGGCTGCTGTTGAAAATTTCTCACAGTCCAGCAAGATCCCATTCTCACGTGCACTTCCAAGTCCAACTTTGCGGTCCAAATGTTACTAACTTTTCCTGTATTTACATTTGAACAATAATTTGTGTTTCCTTTTTCCTCCTAAGGACTTTTCATATGAGTCAAGTTGGAAAATATTGAACAATTGTCTATACAAAGTAGTTGACTGCTCTGCTGGACTTTTGTTTACCATCTCCCTGTCTGATTGTTATGTTGGAGAATTTTTCCTGATATGGCGGCAGCAAGTGCTGCTTTGAAACTTGGATCTTTGGTCAATGAAGTAGCCATTTGCTCTATCAAGAATTGTTGAAACTCTGGCCTATTTTGATATTCACCTCCTGTTGTCGTTGATGATGATGTTGTTGTTCTAATGCTATTGCCTCCGGTAGGACTAGTAGTACTGTGATTCATCTTCATATCGCGTTTTTCTACTGTTTTCGGTGCAGTAAGATCTAGAGTAATGGTTGGTCCTGAGGAATTGAGAGTTGTAGAACAAGGTACTGAAGTACTAGTACCGGCGATAGTTGTCACATTTAATCGGCTGGCAGTGGAGGTATTAGTACTTGCACCTGATTCTGGTTTTGAGGTTTGTGGATGGTTATGTTCTCCTTCATATGTTGCTACCACAATAGACTGATCTTCTATGCTTCTCTGAACCTGTCAAAAATGCCAAATGCACTATTAGAATATGCGCGCAAACTGACTTGAACACGAACATGACAAATTCATTCTTTACTATGATTGTCAACACTCAAAAATTAGGGTTTCAATTTACCTTCTTCTTGACAGGGCAACCAGGTGCAAATGAGCATCTGAAGTAAGCTCTGGGACAAGGGTTGTCTCTGGTTACTTTCTGACCATACTTCCTCCACTGATAACCATCCTTTACAATCTGCAAATAAGTTCACATCCGAAGACATAATTAGTTGTATGCTCTCACTAACAGCTTAAACTTTTAGTTGAGATACGAATAACTCTAAAGTGTCATCCTCATAAGAGTATGTACTTACAAGAGAGGTATCAGATGCATCAGTCTTCATAGAAACAATTGTAACCTTCGCTTTAATGTGCTCCTCTCTGAGTTTCTTGCAACAAGACTCTTCATCACTTGAGCTGCTTTCTGATGAACGTCCATGAACAACATCCATATTGTTATTATTATTGTTGTTGTTGTTAACAGGATTAGAGATATTGGAGATACTTTCAGCTTTCCTTTTCCTTGACCCTGCACTACTATCTTCTGCTACACCATTTTGTGTGCTCATATACTCCATCATTTGGTTTCTTAAAGCATTGTAATTTTCACAAACTACAGTAAGCATCTCTGTTAACTTCTTGTTTTCACTGCTCACTCTGTTTAGTTCCTCTAACAAATCCCCTGCCTCATTTTTCACCCCCATATTCTCTCTTTCTCTGCTCAATCCAGTGAAATCACTTTGCACTTCTTGTTTCTGAAACCAAAAAAGAAACAAACATCAATACTAACAACTTACAACAAGTGAAATCCCACTAGTCTACGCAAACCTTATCACTACCTAAAAACATCAATACTAAGCATATAAATAATACATTTGGGAATGAGAAATATAGTCCAAAAATCTTACCGGAACTTTTTCAAGAACAGGACGAAGCCTAAAGCTCAAATCCAATGAAGTATCAACCAAACTGGTAAATTCCATAGATATTAATTTCTTCTTTGATGTATGAAAATTCCAAGAATCAACAAAGTTGTAGTCTTTCTTCAGGTGTGTTGAGTTAAGAAACAAACACTTTTTTTTTTCTCCTCAAAATCTGATGATGGTATATAGAAATGAAGATAAAAGGTATATAAATACCAAAGGGCTTTAGAAGACCAGCTGACCAAGTTGTAGGAAGGTGGGAAGAAAATCAGGAAAAGGGATAAATATTAAATTGATGCAAATTGAGAGTTTCTATCCTTCCTTTTTTTTTTTTTCTTCTTATTAATTATTATCCACAGCTTACTTATAGTTGTCAAATTTGTACCTAAGCAAACACAAGTGGTGGGTACAGTAACACATGTATAATTATATACTCCTATATATCTTCGGTCTTCACTGTCTCAATTTATATGACTTACTTTTTTTTTAGTCAATCCCAAAACAAAATGATACATTTTCATATTTAATGAAATAATTTATAACCACGTTTATTTTAGACCATAAACTTTAAAAATTTTATTTTTTTTAATTTCGTGTCAAGTCAAATTATATCATATGAATTAAAACGGGAAGGAGTAGTGTATAGCTTTTCATGTCGGCCCATCATATTTTGAATTTTTCTTCTCTAGTCAAAGTCAAGACAACCATTAGGAAAGTAGAAAGAAGGATGTATATTTTATATGGATAAAATAAAATAAAAGAAAAACTAAAAGGTGTTTAATATATTTATGCAGTATTAATGTTAATATATAGTTGAATTTTGAGTCTTGTTTTGACCAATCTTCTAACCTACTTACTCATATAACATCATTTGGCACGTCATCACTAACTTTATGTGCAAAATTAAAATAAAGGAGGAATATTTTTTTTTTATTTGATATACGTTCTTTGTTTTTTTACAAGCATTTTCAACGTTCACTCTATTTTTTTTATTGCTGTCCCCTGTGAGGTCTGGATTTGTAAAGAGTAGAATATTTAAGTATTTTGGGTGTTGAAGAAAAAGTATTTTCTGAAATGACTTTTTCGATAGAATGAAAAAATAAGTGATTTTTAGATTAATTATCTCTATCTCACTCTCTAACACAAACCACCTAACCCCATCCCTGCCGGCCATTAGTTTTATCCTCATCCATCTCTCATTATATATCCTATATTATATATAAATATATTTGAAATAATATTTTATATTTATTTATCAAAAATATAAAACAAAATTATTTATATTTGAGAAAAATATTTTTAATGGTACCAAACACACCCTATAGTTAATAAAGTGCATAAAAAATAGGCACACGCAGTTCACCAATTTAGCTGTCCAATACGCGTTCTCTATGTGTATGCCACGATAGATTAGGATATAAGGATAGTCTTATTTTCTATTGGACAGAAATTAATGCTGCTAGATAAATAAATAAATAAATAAGTCTAATACTTCCTTCATTTTATTTTATTTGGTTCTCATATTTAGAATTGATTATGTTTTACCTGTTCATTTTAATAAATGAAGAGAAATTTTTTACTCCCTCGGTTCCTCTGTTCTTATTTATATGTTACTCTATCATTTTAAACTTTACGTAAGTTTATCATTATATCCTTATTTAGTATTCTCTTAAAGTCAAGTTTCAATAAATGAATTAAAATTAATTTATTAAATTGATCAATGAATATGAATTAATTATTTAGTAGTTTCCTATGTTGGTCTAATTCATATTTTCAAGGCTAATAACTCTCAAAGGTAAAATAGGAAGAATAGTGTCATTTATGCATTGATTTTGTGAAATGACAAATATTAATGACCATCTATTTTTAGTAAGGATGACATATAAATATACTACATTTGTCCACTTTTAATTGTCATAGTCTCCTTTTTTAGAGTTAAACTATAATAACTTTGACTAACATTTTACGATGTATTTTTTTCATCGTATTGATATGCAAAAACAATTAAATTTATAGTACTTTTCATAAAGTTTTTGAATATTTAATTTTTTTTGTTAAATTATTAAATTAATGTAATTTAATTTAACTTTGAACATTAGTCAAATTGACTTTCGAAAAGCTCAACATGTCAATTAAAAGTGGACAAAGAGAGTACTCCCTCCGTCCCATATTATATGTCGCCCCTTTCTAAAAATAATTGGACCACAATATATGTCATTTTATAAAATTTATGCATAAATTACCATTTTTTGACCATTATACCCTTGATAGATTAATTAATTAATCTTGAAAATGTATTTACTTTGACTAACCTAGAAAATCAACAAGTAATTAATTTCATTGGAGAGTACTTCATTCATTAATTAACTACTTTTTTTTATTCACTACTTATTCTATAAAATTTGATTTTGAAAAAAATATCAACAAAAAAATTAAAAATAAAAGATGAAAAAAAAGTCAAAAAAAATCTTGAAAGTTGAAGCTTCAACAAATTTTATCAAGGAAGATGACATTTCAAAAAGTTCAAAGGAAAATTTAGATCAATTTGAAGTAATGAAATTTGAATATTTGTGATGTTGTCATGTTTGCTTTAAGAATTTATATATACAAATATAGAAAAAAAAAATATTTTACACAAAATATATAGGAAAATTGAGGTGGGAAAAACTTGGTTTTTAATTTTTTTTTTGGATCAATTGGTGAAAAAATTTGGCTCCAAAAATAAACTCTAAAATTTAAATAGACATCTAAATGCATTTATATTTTTGAAATCTAACATTTCATCATTTATTACAAAGTTGTCATAAACAAACATTAAATAAGGGCATATGTGTAAAATTACCTTATTTCTTAATGCAAGTGCAAATGGAAAATGTGACATATAATATGAGACGGAGGGAGTATATGACAACTAAAAAAAATCGGAGGAAATAATATTTTTTTAATAATATCCTTGTTATTAAATGATTACATAAAGCGATAGTAATCAAATTTATATTTTCAAAACATAATTAATAAA